CAAAGCTCTGTACACACACCAGACGCAGGATCAAAGCATACAAAGTTAGAAAAATAAAAATTAATTTTAAAAAACCTCAAAACACAACAGTGTAGATGAACAAGGAAATAGAGAAAGAGGCAGAAAACGTTCCACTCAAACTTCTGACTATTTATTTTAAGTAAAGTCGAGCGACCCCGCACGGCCAGGGCATTTAGGTGATGTTCTAACCATTCTGCGTACCGAGGTTTTGCAGGTTGCTGCAACAGAAGTGCTCCTCTGGAAATAAAATAATACATCTTTAAGTAAAGACATTTTGTTGAGGAGGAGGGAGAAAGACAGAGTCTTAGCATTATGTCAAATGGATTTATTTTATTTTCCTTCCTTCCTTCTTCAGTGTGAAAATCGTGGGTCTGTCAAGTCCCCCGTGGACCACAGCACCCACAGGTTTTGCTGAAGCTGGGACGATGCTCAGCCCAGGAGCTGTTCCAGTAGCCCTTCCCCTTCCCAAAGCACAGACGCGTATCTGTCTATCCATGTCCGATTCTCATAATGACCCTGGCTGTCAAACACAGGTTTAAAAGCATCACCACATGAGGACACCTCAGTGACAAAGCAATTGCTACAAGCTGCTTGCATGCTTCTGAATGAGCCAGAAAAATTACAATTTCCTTTTGGGTTATTGAACAGTACACCAAGCATCTTATACGCACGAGGACACCTAGCTAGAGTCAGAATCTTTTATCTTCGTGTTAATTTTGTGACTCCTTCGGTTCTTCCTTCTGCTTGCGGGATAAAAGCAGATGTAGGGAAGGGAGGAGTGGCTGCCACAGGTCATAGAGTCATAGACTGGCCTAGGCTGGAAGGGACCTTAGAGATCATTTAATCCAACCTCCCTGTCATGGGCAGGGGCACCTCTCAGCTAGATCAGGCAACACATGCAGCCTCAAATGCTGGGTCACATTGCATTCCCAGGCTCAGAAGAAAGCTCTGTTGCTGGGAATTTAAAAACTAAATTGAAGGTAGCGTGCACAGACTCTACAAGCAGTTGTCAGTCAAACCTTACTGTGTCTTCCATCTCTTTTTTTTTCCCAGAATAACTAGAAAAGTCGCAATGTTTCCTCTAAGTCTGCCATTCTGTTAGGGAGGGGGGAAAAAGAAAAGCCTTTGGAGGGTTTGTATTGGTTTCATTCGAAACAAGCCCATAGGTTTCACTTACTGCCTGTAGTATGAGCTCTGTTAATTCACTGAGCTCATTTGCACAGCAAAAGATTTGCCATTACACATCCCACACTAAGGAGAGAGGAAAAAAAAAATCAGTGCGTTTCAGCTGCTTAAGCTCATCCTACATATTGCCGCACTTACTGGGGTCCCAAGGAAGGGAAGCACGCTTGCTCAGGAGAACACGGCAGCATGTGTTTGACTTTAAGCATGTGCTTCCCAAGTCCCACGGCACTCCTACCCGGGACTGACGTAAGACTTGGGTATAGACTGGTGTGTGATCCTCTGAACCCCGGCACAGGACACTTGAACGACTCCATAAAGTCATTTTAGATGTTCCTCTGATGAGAACAAAATTCTTTTATTTTCTTTTCAAAAATACGCGAGGCTCTGCCTGCCTACGCATGCAAGCATGCCACAGATGAAGTGATGAGAGTTTGCAGCATCTGACATGCAAATTAGAGAGGAAGAGAAGGTAGGGACACGCACAGCGTCAGGCCTGCTTTAATTCAAGCATACTTAATTTTTCCGGAATGCAACTGCGGTCGCTGCCATGAAGTTTTCCGTGCACAAACAGCTACAGCAGAATAATGCTCTTAAAGCCTACGGCTGCCTACAGGCTCCAGGAAAACTCTGCCAATATGCCTTTTAGACTCCCCACGGAAGCAGAAAGTTTCATTTGTAGAGATCAGAGCTGTAAAGCAATCGAAAAGGACCGGTAACACAACATTTAGCTTGAGATATAACAGCGCAAAATATCCCCTCTTTTAGCTGGTCCTGCTTATCTGTCATAATTCCAGCAGAGAATGACAAACCCTAATACAGTAAAACACATGTGGGCAAATCTAGAGAACAACCTGGTATTTGTCAGCAGGGCTGGGACAACGTCAGAAACACCCGGCAGAGAGAGGAACAGAAAAACGCTTTCTCCGGTGCTTGGTCTGGAGCAGAGCGGGCACCTTGGAGGTGTAAGTCCCACTGGGCAGCCCACCAGGCAGGGGGTGATTTTGGCTCCCCTGTTCCCCTCTCACACCCAGAGAAGCAGGAGCAGCCATAAACGAGATGGACAAGGTTGCAGATGACAAGGTCACAGCGCTGGGAGCACCGTACGGGTGCTGGTTTCGCACATGCGGGAGAAAGAAAACGCGTTGGACCGTTCTCACATCACGGGCAACACGGCGGCTGCAATTTCCGCATCGCGATTTGTAGCTCGCTCAGCCCCACCTCCGCTGCCCTCGTCCCCTTCTGTTTCCCTTCCCGAGGCTGCTCAAAACCTTTCTCACTGTTTTGGATCTCGCTGGGGCTGTTTGAGATGTCGGGAGGGCTGAGCTAAGCTCCCAGCGCTGTGGCACCCAAGCATCCCCTCGCATTTGTAACCAGGAAGATCTCGGGCAGGTACAAACGGGTTCTGACACACAGAAGAAAGGCTCATCAGGTCACCAACGGCCAACATTTGCAAAGAGATATTTTTACATCTGCATGGAGATAGGATGGGAGGGAGAAGAAAAAGCCTCCTCTGTTGGCACACACGCACGCACACACTGGGCAAAATTGTTTGAAGAGCTTATGGTCTTGTTTTTAAATGAGTTGTGAATGTTTCCCAAAAGCCCAGGCACTAGACAATGGCAGCACATTGCTAAAGAATGTTGAGGGGGATTTTAGGCTGATCTGATAATTGCCTCGTAAGAGAAAAAGCAGAAACAGCTTACAGAAACAAAGGACATGAATTCGAATGAAGCTTCAAGAAAATTGATCATTTCTTTTTAAGATGACATAGCATACACTGCAAAAAAAAAAAAACACAAACCCAAAAAACCACCCAAAACACTGACTGTGAGATAAAAAGAGAAAAGATGTTCTGTCAGGAGAGCAAATCCCTATTTGCAGGCTCTTTTGGAGGACAGACATCTCTACGTTCAAAAGAAGAAGTCTCCGAGCTGACACAAAACACCCAACCAGGAGCGATTTTCGTTGCACACACTCCAAAGTCAGGAGCAGGCTGTGAGCTCCAGTGGCTTGAACTTCCACTTTTTCCACCCCAAACTTTCTAGACGAAGCAGTCAGGACACATAACACAGACACAACACTCATTTCTGCAAAAACTGCGACTCTGGTCTTGCCTCTGTAGTCAAAACCGTTTAAGTTGGAGTTGGATGAATACGGGGGGGGGGGAAAGGAAAAAATAAATACATCTGTGAACATTTTCTGGCCTGGTAAAATGCTTATGTTCATACACTGCCACATCAGTATTCTGAACGTATCCCACCCCCCAGTGAGACAAAAGGAGCGGCTTTTGGCTCAGATGGTCCCCAACCAACAAACCCTCGGAGGACAGGCGAACACGACTGAGAAAGCATCACCTCAATCTTCTTATCTTCTGCTCGCTCAGCTATTGCGGCCGGGGCGCTACGATTTGAGCCAAGGCGCCTACTTCTGCGAACACTTGTGCTGGCAAGGGGGAAGCGAATCTGGGTTTTCGAAGAGGGTTCTGCACAGCATCAGCCTCCCACCACAAACACTTCACCCTTCCCATCAGGAAACGGGAACGACGACGTGTGATCGCTCAGCCCGGGCTGAACACACACGGTGACCTTTTCTAAATATTGAAGGAGCCCAAAATCTACACACTCCCAAAAATAGTCAACATGTAATCGCAAACGCTACACGTGTAAGGAAGCAAACTCTTACGGTTTTAATTCCACTAGCAGGAAAATACATTCGTAAAAATATTTGCTCTGCTCTGCTTTCATATGCATATTAAGGAAAAGAAAAAAAAAAATCATCAGAGTCTCCCTACAGCCTGAAAAAGGTTTCCTGTGCTCAGATCCTGGATTTGTGCTAAATACCTAAATAGCTTTATAACAAGTCGGCAAACTGAGACCCTAGGTAAGGTGACAAAGAAATTTCAGCCCGGGCAGACCGTACATGGGTGCTGTCACAAAGCAGGGGGGCGTCTCACCCACGCGGTGTCACAGAGCAGTAGGTGCTAAACACAGCAACACCTTATATGCCAGAACTCTAGTATTTCCTTTAATACTTATTTTATTAAGCAGAAGAAGAATAAATCGGGCGGCAATCACACGTAGCAGGACCAGCTCTGAATGAAGCTTGTGCAACATTTTCATAAATATTTATTGCAGATTCCTCCTGTGATCACTTGCAGTTACCACTCCTCAGGACTCAAACATTTCAGCGAAAAACTAGTGAAGAATAAACAAGCACGAGAGCTGGAAAAGGCAAGGACTCCAAATTCACCAAACACACAACCTGTTTTTCCACTAGATGCGTTTTAATTACATTTTGCAGATGTTTGGTTGGGTTTTCCTTCTTCCCCCCCCCCCCCCAATCCTTCCTCCCCCCCCCCCGAATCATTTGCCATGGCATGTGAAATTAATTTTTTGAGGGGGTGGAAATGCAAGAGGAGCTTTTCTATATTTACATGTTAAAGAGCATCTGCTGGTCTAGGCACGGCAAAATACATTTTGCTATTCGAAGGAGGCCCTTTTCCACTACACACTAGTTTCCAGGTCTGACCGACTGGGAAGCCTGGGGTGGGAATGTGCATACACAAACTTGTGTCGTCTTCCCCCCCCATCTTAAATAAATTCAGAGTCTTGACGTAGGAAGGATTCCCATTCTTCTTCCACCAAAGTGGAAGTGAAAGCTAAAATGAATGGTCACTTCTTGCTGCCATTTTCAAGTTTACAAGTTTTCCCCAGTCTTTGGAAAAGCTACATCCCAGCAACAAACAGATTACAAGAAAGAGAAAGAAAGGGACTTCTTTTCCCATTACCTATTTTAAGCAATGCTTTGATTTATTGTGAGGGGGATGGCAGAGCAAGATAAACGTGGAGATCTTCGCTTGAGACGCAGGCGGCAGAGACAGCCCGGTGCGTTTCGTAGAGTATTTTGAGTTTCGGAAGTTCAAAGAATACTTTCTTCTTCAAAGTCAAATTTCACCACCACCGGCCGGGTCATGTTCCACTTCTTGTTTCGATTCCTGTCCTCGATGAACTCCTGGTAAGGATCTTTCTTTGAAATAGCTTTCTTCGAGCGTACGTAACCGAAAAAGACAGTTAACGCCAGGAAAGAGTAAAACAACATGACAAAGAGGATGAAGAAATAGGCGTTGTCATATGGTTTGTATTGCGGCTCTTTTTGCTCCGTCGTGTTTTTCCTCGCGTCCAGGTTCCTTTCCAGAAGTTGCAGAACACATTGCGAGATGAGAGAAGCTAAAGCCGTTTGGTTCATGGCGGGGGATTAAAAAACATGTCGGGAAACACGGAGGGGAGCGAGCAGGCGAGCGGCCGGGGACGCCGAGCGATGCTGCCGTGTGGTGGGAACCTCTGCACCAGCTTTACCAGGAGTTGGATCTGGCCTGTGATCCTTTCCTCTTTTGGTAAGGAATGCTGTCTGGCACTTACTGGGTCTCGGTCATTTGATAACGAGGTATTTGGCTGATAACTGCCTTGCCTCTGAAGTCTATTAATAATAACAGCAACGGAGCAATAACAAGTCCCTGAGATGTCCGTCTGCCAGTTTTAAATGTGTGGGTTGTTGGGCATTTTCTTTCTTTTCCCCCCCTCATATTCAGGGAACAAACCTGCTCACGTCACTATGTGAAAGGATTTTAAAATCCATCAGTGACTGCGAAGAATATAAAAAAAACCCCAAATTTATCACACCCTCCATGGAGGAAGGTGCTTAAATCCACCTCCAGTCCAAGCGTGCAAACAAACTGGCATTTAGAGTTGTTGGAAAAATGTGTGATTCTCAGGTGGTTTCTCTTAACATCCCAGCTGGCAGCCTGTGCAAGGGGATGGCCCAGCACCCTTCCACAGCAGTCCCTGCAGACATGCCAGCTAAATACACCTCGGAGTAAACGGGGTGAGAAAGCGTTGATGAATACCACTATGACACTTCAACCAGTTGTTAGCTACTAGGCATTTAGGCGAAAACTTAAAGTTCAACTCAAATGTGGCAGCCTCGGAGCTGAAGCGGGAAGGTGAACGTTTTAATGTATCTGTGCAAGTACTACGACGAGCAAGCTGTGCAAGCACTAGGACGACCAGGCTGTGCAAGTACTAGGATGGTTAGAGTCTGTGTAAAAAGTACTAGAACTGGCAGAGTCTGTGTAAAAAGTACTAGAACTGGCAGAGTCTGTGTAAAAAGTACTAGAACTGGCAGAGTCTGTGTAAAAAGTACTAGAACTGGCAGAGTCTGTGTAAAAAGTACTAGAACTGGCAGAGTCTGTGTAAAAAGTACTAGAACTGGCAGAGTCTGTGTAAAAAGTACTAGAACTGGCAGAGTCTGTGTAAAAAGTACTAGAACTGGCAGAGTCTGTGTAAAAAGTACTAGAACTGGTAGAGTCTGTGCAAAAAGTACTAGAACTGGTAGAGTCTGTGTAAAGTACTAGGACGGGTAGCCTGTAGCTGCGTGCTGCCACAAATACACGGTGAAAATACTCACTAGAGTAACATCCAAACTGAAGAGAGCTGCCCATAAAGTCGCTCTGGAAGAGGAAGCCCTTGACTGCCACCGACAAGTGGACTGCACTGAATATTTTCAGGCAAGGAGCAAGGGGGTGTAAAATCTTCTCCAGCGGGGTTTGTCCCAGGTCACGTCTGCTCGATTCCTGCTTCCTATTGTGTTTTACAGGCTAGGTCACTCCAAAGTAAATTGTTGTTTTACAAAGTAGTGAAACCTTATCTCTCTACAAGAGAAAAAGAAAAAAAGGGGAAAAAAGGCAAAAAATAAAAAGTCCACTGGCCCAAACGACAATGCCAGCTGTTTCTTCCTGTGATCTGAATTCTGGGGGAGCGAGCACCGTGACTTTGAAGTGGAGAGCCCGTCACCCGGCGAGCGGTTTGCCAACTCCGCGCTGTTTCTTTAGGCCTGACCCCCTGAACCGATCGCATGATGACTAATTCACATGCTAAGGTTGCAGTATATCGGTATCGCCGAGCAGCCTGCGTTTGTCATTAAGGGTTTCTTGTAAAAAGGGAGATGAAAGTGAGGTCTGTAATTTTAGACGAGCAGCAGACGATGGTATAAGTACATTTAGAATACGCAGCTTCTAGAAGAAATGTTCAGCTCCATGTTTTAACTACTTGTTTGGAAAATCAACCTTTTAAAAAAGGGAAAAAAAAAAAAGAGAAGAAAAAAAAAAGATGAAAAATGCCCGTAAAAGAGCGATGCCAAATCCTGTTCTTGGTTAGGGCCAAGTTATAAGAGAGTTCTTATTCACCTATTCTTGTGAGTAAAGGAGAACAGTTTTAGGGGACCTCGTCTTGTTTTGAAGAAAGAGAAGAAAAGCTTTATCAGCAGTTTAGCTCCAAATAAAATAGATCCATTAAACTAGTATAAAATCTTCAGGGGAAGGACGCCCAATTTATATGCGTGTAACTGGAAAAAGGATTTTCCTTTAGCTTTTGCCACTTCTCCAGAGCTCCGCAAACTCTTACCCTTTGTCTGTTTTCTAAAGAGTTTCCCTCAGTAGAAGGAGCGTGCGATGCTCCATAAATTAATTTGGGCATATGCTAATCCCTGTGCCTGCTCGAGAAGCACATCACCTCTGTTGGCCAAGTTTCTGGGGCTTTTTGTATCCGCAAGATAAAAATCAATCAATAAATTAAAAACAGGTCGGGGACAGTGGGTGAGGCACCACAACTGAGTAGAGAAACAAGTGACAGAAATTCAGTCTGGGGTATGAGGACTCCCTAAAAGCAGCATGAAGGCCAAACCACCCAAGACCATCCCTGACAGTACAAATGGAGGAGAAATGCAAGAGCCTGACCATCAGGAAAATGGCTCAAATGACTCTGGGGGAGATAACTTCACAGAGGAGCATCTGGGTGAGATGGATAACACTGTGGGTGAGGATGCAGAAAAGCAAAATGTTGAGGCTGTGAATGGATTATGTGATGGTAAAAACAAGAAGAAGAAGAAAACGAAGGCGCAGTCCTGCTCCCACACAGCCCTTCTTTCTTAAAAGCGCTTTAATTCACTTTACGCCGCGCAGCGAACCGACAGCCTCACCCACCTAAGCCGATATTTGGTGCTCCTTACCGAAGGGCACGCCAAGCCTCGTGCTTTCTCGCCCCGCCTTTCAGAAGCGAGCATCAGCCTGGCAGCTCCGTTATGTGTGTCAGCAGAACCCCGGCACAACAAACTCGGCCCTACGCCTCCCTTTCCAGACACGCCGTAAGTTATCCTCACAGGAGGAGCTACTCTAGGCTGGAGAAAACCACCTCTAAGAAAAGCGATGCTACCTCTCCCCAGTTTCCACACAACTACTCATGGTCCCCACGCCCCCTAGGAAAGGACAATGCATGGAGGAAGGCTCACGCCCTCGAAGCTGTAGGAAAGACTTGGAGGCTTCTCGCACACAAACAAGAAAACTACAAACCACGGAAGGCACGTACCAGAGCAAACCCTTCTGCCTCCAGGTGCAGCCGGACTGAGCCTCCAGGCATGTTTCTGGGTCTCCCCCGTGCTCCCCACCACCCCTGGGAAGCACCAGGCTTTCGAACCACAGCAAAAGTCACTCCCTCCTGCTTCAGAGGAGGCAAACCCAAGAGAACTGCTCCCTAAAAAACCTCAGAACTCACCTCAGCTGTGCTGCTGTGCCCTCCCTAAATGCTCTTGCCCAAACACACCTGAGCCAGAGACACGACCCTGCAGCAATTAAAGGGAGATGCTCACCCACCCCCCTGCTCCTCTCCTGCAGTTGGCTTTTAGTGTAATTTTGTGTTTTTCTGTGTCTGTTTCTGCAGCACAGATCAGGCTACACAAACAAACATTGCTTTAAAGTTGTTTTTTTCCTCTCTCTTTTTTTTTTTTTTTTTTAATTCCCTTTGCCCTCCCTCAAACAGCTAAAAGTACATAATGGTGCTTTGAACAAGATCCTAAAGAGCTATTTCCATAAAGCGGTCCAATTCCTTTTTAGAGATGTAAGTACATGAAATTCTTCAAATGCAGGGAGGGGGGGACACGACAATGAGTGAAGATTAAAAAGAAAGTAAAAGATTAAAAGGAAAAGACCATAAGAAAAACTCAAAGGGGGGGGGTGGGGGGGAAGATCAAAAAGAGGATTAACCATGTTACTTGTTGTTTTTCAGAAATTAAAGAAGTATGGAGGATAAGGAATTTGTTTCCTTTTGGCCCTAGAAAAATGCCAATTATGGTAGCTAAATTGCCAGGATCACATATCAGTATGCTTTGGAAATGTGAGAAATGGATGGGAAATGTAAACACAGGGCAATAGCTTACAGTTATGTTATGAATTAAGCCACAAAAATATCAAGATTTAGTCACTGAATAAGCTGCCAAAGTTAATCTTTCCTGATGAACTTGAGCAGAATCAGAATAGAAGTGCCAGAACTGGGGATCTTGTTCACTCATCTTTGCTATCTCCGGGTCCTCACACACCTAAAATTTCCTCTAAAAATCAAAATGAAGTGCCTGGGTGCGCATGGGCTTAAGACCAAGCTCCTTCTCCGCTGTGTGTATTTATTTTAGGAGTTTCTTTATAACTTTAGGGATAAAAACGTAAATACTCTGAGTCCCTTTTGGGGAAGAGAGTTTGTGGTACCATCCACACCAGCACAGCTTTTGATTTCCGTGAGATTTTTCAGCCACAAAAGCAGAATAACCTTTTGGGGTGGGGAGAAACAGCTTCCTTCCAGGTCTTTTAAATACACGGCGTTCACGTGAAATGGGAACCTGTGAGAGAAGAGCACAGATAATCGGAGAGAGGAGCAAGAAAAACCGAGAAGGCAAATTTTCTACAGCACCAGCAGAGATACCTGAAAAGAGGAGAAGGAACAAGTAGCTCAACATTTGGTTCTGGCCTAAGGGACAAACGTTGCTGCACATGAAGCCCCGGAACAGTTAATAAAGCTTCTGAACTGTTTCCAATTCTGGGACAAGGAAGCACGAGTTCTGCTCTTATCAGCGACCGCTCTCTCCTTGCGGAGCTCGCTTTATTAAATTATTCAGCAAAGGTCAAATGGGGCGCGTCTTCCCAGGTTTATGATGATTTTTCCTGACGTCGCCCGAGTAGCAGGATAATAAGGGCACGTCAAAACGGCCCAGCTCTCCGCGGGATTACGAGCTGGAGGCTCGGAGGCAACGCAAGTGCATTAAGGAAACTTTTCCAGGCGGCGGCGGCGAACGAGCGTCGCGACGTCAGGTCGATAATCCAGAAATACCTGCCTAAGGGGAGCTGAACGGAAACCCGGCCATTTCATTTCGCTCATACAGGGCTGGATTATTTTCTGGCTGGCTCT